ACGCTCGCGCTGGGTTTCCACCTGTGAAGGAGACCTGCTGCTGCTGGGCAGAGCTACGTAGGTTTGTGTTAGAATCACGGCAGCAAACCAGCAAAACGCAAAGAACTTTTCACAGTTTTTCCCTCCAAACTAACCGACTGAGTTGAGTAAAGCTGCTGGATGCAGGTAATGTTAGCTAAAAGATGACTAGCTAATATCAATACAGAACCTTAAGCTTAACAAGCTTAACAAGTAAGTACCTTGTAGGCTACCGATGTTGGTGTCTATTTTCAGCTACGTACATTCATTTTGCCCCCAAAAAAGTCAATGACCCCCCGTCACACGCGTCGTTTCAACCAGACAGCCTTTTGTAATCCATTGGGGGGGCGCAGAAAATGTTTGGAAACCACTGGGGGGGCGCAGAAGAAAAAGTTTGGGAACCACTGAGCTACTACATAGTTTTTTGGGTAATTTTCATAACTATGTTGAGAGAACAGAATTAATCTAACACATATATTAAAGATAATCATCAATTCTTTGATCTCACTAACATACTGTAGCTTCTTGGGTGTTTCAAGTCATTCAAGTGTTTCGGAAATAACAAAAAAAAAAAAAGATGATTAACAATGACAGTAATAATAATATACTGGACGATTACAACTTAAAGAGTGTGGAGATATTACAATAAAGACATAATAAAATCCAGATGATGTGCAACTGGGTGAAAACTCTAACAATTCATTGCATTGTCTTTTATCACCTGGAGCACCTGAAAATGAAGTTGCAACAATATGGCAACCTACTTTCCAAAAATATGAGCATTCCTTATCCACTGTAGCAGCTGGTAAGGATTGACTCCAACATCCTATGCAATTCAGTTGTTTAAAGAAAGGGTGACACCAACATGTGGCCTTTCCATTCACTGAGGTCAAGCCGAGCGAGAAGGCAAGAAAAATGTGGGGGATAACAGTGGTCAAAGCAAAGGCTTGTCAAAAATGTATCTATGGTCTGCGACAACGCTCATAAAACTCTCAGACACACAGGAAGCTTCCAAATAAATCAGCCCATGTGCTCTGTCTCCCAGACAGGGTTTGATCCAGGTGATATATGGTTTTAATATATTGACAGAAAGATGAACTGGTGAAGAAGATGAAAGGCAGAAGTAATAAATAAAAACTATTTAAGTTCTGTGAAAGTTTGTCTCAGGAAAAGAAAAATGGCGTTAATAAAAAAAAAAAAAAAAACTAAGATAGTTTGGCTACGAATGTTCATCTTGATATAACTGTAGTGAAGCAATTATTTACAATTAATTTAAACCATAGAAACATTTAGACATTTCAAGCGAAGTCGTGCTATCCTCAGAATCTTAAAAAAAATGAATAAAACAGACATTTTCATGTGAAATTGGTTTTGTTGCTTGTTATTTTATCCTGTAAGTGCAGTTGAAAAGTGAAACGTACAAGCTGTTGACATCAACATGTCTATTAATGCCAAAATATTCTTGGAAATGTGGTCGTTGTTCAGATGTGCCAACCAAGCCTGACTTTCAATGTCATAGTTTAGACAATTTACAAGGACTGAGAATATATATAACTCCAATTGCTCAAAACTTTTTTTTTTTTTGCAGGTTAAACATTTGTGTGGAGGGCATTCAAGAACCCAAATCCAATTAGCAGCCCTACTTCTGCTCTGTACTTATTCATTCACTGAATCATAGACCCTGGATTTCATACTTTATTCTGATTATAAGCTGGATGGTTCTTCAACAGATTTTTTTTTTTTACAAAAAGGTCATAGAATCTCTGATTTACACGAACTTACTTGACGAAAGTACTGCTCACATGATGGTAATATAAAAGAGACTGAGCCAGACATGGTGACGTGCGTTCTTTTATGTGAAGAAGGCAATACTGATTTGTGTTGAGTGAGCGCTTTTGGAGCATTTCAGCTCCTGCTGTAATTTGCTTTGTGGAGAAGGCAGAACAGCTATTCAGCTGGAGCTTTGTAATTTGACCAAATGTTAAGCGAATAAACCAGATTTAATTATTTTTTTTTAATTATTTGTACTAAGCATCATGACTCTTTAAAGTTCTGTGCACAAAGACTTTCAGAATTAAATATGCTGTAGCTTGGCAATCCTCTTGGCATAGGTTTCTGTATTGAATTTCAGGACATGTACCGAATAAAAAAAAAGTAATGGACAGAATTTATCATGCCTTTTAACACAAACACAAACATACAGCGATGTGCAAATTGGCAGGCTAGGCTAAAGTTACATCAACATGTGCCAGGAGGAAGCTGGCATGGAAACATAACTGAGTATGAATGTCTTCATCAAGAACAGCATCCAGTCTGAAGAGTGTTGTCAACCCAATCTGATAGCACTGATTATATGTGCAGAGTAGAAAAGAATCAGAAATTTTCTAACTGACCAGTTACCAGTCAGGATTAATGAAGCTGAAAATTTTCACCTTGATTTCTCTGAAAATTTTAACTGGACAAATTATTTTATTAATAAATAATCATAAAGTTCCTTACTGTAACCTAAAATGAAAAATATTAACATGCACATTGCAATAATCAGTAATGTCCTACCATGACAGTGAAACATGTGAAACTAATGTGCCTTGGCTCTTTACTTTTATGATATAAACATATTATATTCATATCAACTCTATGTTTAAAGGTTTTTCAGTGTGCAAATTTTCATGTGAATCAATAACAAATTCTTCTCCCTTTGGCAGCAATCTAAGCACAATCTAAAGCTGAACATGCTGTAATTAAATAAAGGCCTGAATTTTTAATGCACTAAATATAGACAATTCCAGTCAACTGGGGAACAATAGGTGAATGACGCAAACATGCACAAATGGAGGAAATGAGTCTTTACCCCCTTTTCTCTGCAACTAATTTTCTTGCTGTTGAGCAAGATTTAAAAAGCGAAGGAAGCCAGATTTGTTTGTTTGCTTTTTTGGACTGATATGCTGAAAGTAAATGGCATATTTCTTCTGATGTTGATTGGGCAAAATTAACATGAACTGAGAAACTGTGAGGAGAGATGAGAAACAGGAAGCGAAAGGTAAGAAGAGACCTAGGGGCGAATGAGCAAACAAAAAGTTAAAAGTTCCAGGCACTGAAGTATAAGGGAAAGAGAGACAAAAACTTTAAAAAAGATTGGAGATAAAGGAATTAAAAAAAAAATGAAGAATGAATTGAAGATGTTGTAGAAGAGGGGGTTCAAATGAGAGATGCCAAAGTGCTGATATTACACTGGCAGCAGTCCCACTGCATTACTTTGCTATACTTTTATGGAAAATCAATTGTCCCTTAAACAGTGTCAACAAGACCAGCCTCTCCATAGCCTTTTTGTGAAGTAAAAGACACAACAATGTTAACACCACTAACAGAGCTTTATTATCTTCATGAGCTCTTGTCTTTGTGGTAGTATTTATAGCCATTTTCAAAAGTTTTTCCATGTGGCAGTAATGCAAATATTGCTTTCTCCACGTTAGTGTAAATGCCATTGTCACATCGTTTTTCCACTTCACCTTTTTTTGTTAGAAATTTTCATACTGAGGTAATTCTCTGGATTTAAAAATTATATTTGACATACCTAGAATATTGTAAATAATCGCCAAATACATTTTTTTAAATCACCAGAACCAGAAAATTTTAATTAATCAAACTGGTTTTCTCTGACCAAACGTTTTGTCTATAAATGAGTTTTTGTCATCTACAGTGTTTTTTTCTTTTTTTCGGTGTCTGGTCAGATGTGTATTCTACGACCCTCTTTCCTCGCTGCCCTTTCATTTTGAGGACATTAGGAATTGTGTTTCTGTGTTATGCTGATGACCGTCAACATTTGAAAAAAACAAAAAAAACAAAAACAAATGTCGACTGCCTGAGTGAAATTAAAGACTGAAGATTTTGATCTACAAAAGTGGCCCTTGCGAAACTCACCATTTAAATCATGACTAGTTGACTCCATTTTTACAATCCACTGCCACCAGTCTGGGTAAAATCCAAGCAGGATTTTGAAACAATCATTCGCATCTTTTTTACCACATACCTTAACTATTGTAACTCAGTATATTTTGGGATCAGACTGACTGACCTCTCTTGCCTTCACCTTGTACAAACCAGGACTTGCTTCACTTGTACTCTCCTTCTCCGTCTCCAAGTTCAGATGACTAACTACTCTTGGCTGTTTTAAAGACAAAGCTGAAAATCAGGGGTTATTTTCAGTCTCTGGGGTGATCAGGGTTTTAAGGTTGCTGCCCCCCAGTTATGGAACAATTTCCCTCTTCTTTTAAATCCTTTTTGAAGACTTTAATCCGTGGCATTCAACACAGTACGGATTGTTTGTTCTTTCCATAACTTACCACACCAAAATATAAATGCTACTTCCAGTCAGTTCCTTCAAATGAGAAAACATGCTGGTAAAATATGTGGTCTACCACAATAATTTGGAACACTGACTTTAATCTCATCATAGCCACCTAAACAGCCACTCATTTTGGAAGAACTCCCTTCTGGTGTAAGAAATTTCCCTTCCAGCTATACCAGGAATTAAATCAGCTCTGGGTAAATACCGTACTTTTAAAACTATAATCACAACATAGAACTTGGGTTAAATAAGCTCACGGTCAAAATTACAGGTTTTGCATGCCTTGCTTAGACTGACACCACCTTGTTCACCAGTGTCATTGTTTCACTCATGCCCACATGGAAAATCAAACTAGGACATGTTTAGATGACTCCTAAGCAACTTGGCCAATAAAAGAGAGGAATACAATTCTTGGTTTTGGGACCAATTGGTCACAAGAGAAAACTTACATGAGGTTTTAGTGTTCCCACACTTTAGACTAAGACAATAGTTGTAATTAAAGCTTTGGGTCTTGTATACAATCTGGATTTCTCCCTGAAATGAAGACATAATTTCCCTTCGAGTCTCTTTACCATACAGCATGTTGATGCGAAGCCATTTTTTCCCCAAACTAGTGGATATTTGACTCTCAGTATTGAAACAATTTAATATATTTATTGCACATGTTAGTTCAGGAAAGATTAAATCCACCGAGTTCCTCTAAAGAACTCAAACAGGTCTAAGCCAAAAGCAGACAGTGTGCATGTACACAGTACCATGTAGTTTAAAGCTGTGACAGGTTGGTGCTCCTTGCAATGTACACAGGGGAATTATGTGTTTGCACTTGCACTACACTGGTAAGGCAGAACCAGTCTTCTACAATTTGGCCACTGCAGTAAGACCAACATGGTTTGTAACACAGATAACCAGCAGATGACATCCTGGCCCTTTATCAGTGAACTCTATTTGCAGGAAGTGATTTTGCAAGACTGACATCCTCACAGCAGGCAACAGGACTTGCTGAATGAGGCATCAGAAGTTTGTCATCAAGCCATGAGCAGCAGCTGCACACAGCTTGGGGCCACTTTTTACTGGAAACCTAAAGGAAAGAGCAGGGAGATAGATGGATGAGACCGCAGAGCATGCTTCAAAGGCAGGAGATGGATCTTCACAGGGAGGAGATGAACCTTCACAGAGGGGAGGGGATGTGGGTGTCTGTTTGTCTGCATAGCTTTTTAAGAATAGATTATTTCTGTCATTGTGTGCATGTAAAAACTGTGCTTATTTTCAATAATATACTCAACGCCTTTACAAATAAAAACACTGGCCTACAATTTACAGAAAATGTAAAGTTTTGCCATAAGGAACCCACATTATTCATTAATGTAGAGCAAATGGAGGTCAAACTGCAATGGAATGAATAATATTTATGGCCTAGTGTCTATTCCCACTCCTTGAACTTTCCCACAGATTTCAACAGTACAGCCACAAACAGTGAATTTTATAGAACCAATCAACCCAAAGTATGCATAACTGTGAAGTTGAAGGGAAATGTCATTCTTTTTGCAAATACAAATCTGAAAAGTTTTACATTGTTTATTTTAATAACTTTAAGACTGATTTGTACACCGTCTCCATTCAGTCTGAACTTCAGCTGTGTTACCATGAAGAACTGAGAACATCTTTGGCCTGCAGACCAGCAAGTTTTAGATATGCAAAACTTGCTTCACTGTACACGTCATTGCAGGGAACGGTAATCGAATCAGAGAGCTAAATAGAGTTACACAAATTTCAGATTTTTCTTTACAAAAATGTTTTGGTGTTATATTTAATGCATTACAATAAATTTAGTGTACCACATGTGAATTACATTAAATATTAAAATTACAAGTTGACTATAAAGTGACAAAGTTGGGAAATTAAATGGAGAAAGCTTACATAGTTACCTTGTGCATACAGCCTCATTGCAAAATGATTTTAGTCAGTAGCATATCTTGCATATGTATCCATTTCCATTACTTTCAGTTAAAAACATGTTTTCTGTTTTGCTGCTATTTTAACAGTGTATGCCAAAACAAAATGGTGCTAGTTTTGAATTACTCAGAAAAGTAGTTTAAAAAAAAAAGTTAACTTCTGCAACAAGAATTACCTCTCCAACATAGACTTCATCATTCTCTAAATTTCACATTTCCTGGACTCTGGATCCACCCCGTCAGCTCGCCTTCTGTTTTTCCTATCTCTCCAGTGGTTTCAGTGCTGTGAGGTCTTGTACGTGAAAATAAACCAAAGTGGTGGAGGTAAGCATACCGTCTTCATTGTTTTCCGACTTGATAGCTAGTACAATTTTTCCCTTTTTTTCCCTCCTCTGTGCACATCTGCCTCAGAACATCTGGTTATTGTCAGAATTTGGACATTGGGCTGAGTCATCACCATTCTTTTCCCTCACTTGTCTCCCCAAAGGAAAAAAAAGAAGAAAAACACAGATAATCTACTTTAAAGTCAGACAACAAATCAACTTTAACCATGGATGATCGGAAACAAAATGCTTTATTAGATTCAGACGAGGAAACAAGGAGCAGGGTGGGAAGGTTTAGCAGTAGAGGCTTAACTTGGAGCAGATGTAGAACATTTGTGAAAAAAAAAGGTCTTGTAGAGGTAGACGAGTGGCATACAAGGTCTCAAGAAATATGTTGTAGAGACACTGAACAGGTTCTAGGAATCTTTTAAATATTAAATTTTGTGTTTTATCATTTTCACACGTATAGTTGTATTAAACTGATGAATGGATTATGTTTAAAGTAGAAACCAAGGACTTTGCTCAAATTTAGTCAAACCATGTATAACAATAGCTAAAAGCTAATGAGAAATTTATATTTAAGGTGCTGTTCTTTGTCAGATTTAAACCCTATTCAGAGACTCAGCGGTCTTAATATATACATGCTACACGTATATACATACACATCAGAGTCAACATTAGCAGAATATGTGTTGGGTTTCATCATCATCATTGGTGTTTTGCTTGTTTGCTTAATATGAAGTGTCAATTTGGTATATTTTCTAAACTGCCAATTGAAACAATTCTGCAGTAATGGAGTGAAAACCCATTTATATTGGGCTAAAATGATGTCAGCTTAACGTGAAACTGAAAAGTAGTATTGGCACTGAAAAATATAATTTTAACTACAACGAGCTGGGATACTTTGGATCCAAAAATACAGCCAACACACATAATTGCCTGTTTAACAGTCTTTATTTAAAGGATTATTGCAGTTCTAGACACTGGGTTGCTGGAACCAGTTTAGAGATCTGGAACAGTGAGGTATGAGACCGAGGCATGACAGTTTAGCAAAATCTTGCACAGAATGGAAATGACTGACCTGTTGAGATTACTGCATATGTGATGGAGAAATCCCAGGGGAGATGTGGTTGAAGTAATGGTCCATGTTTGGCGACATGGGCACAACGCTTCAACAGGCTTAAAAATCCAGCACAAAGAGAAGAGTCAAAAATCAGATGAGGTTCAAAATGAAAGAGCAAAACCAAACCAGACAAGAAGCAGGCAAAGAGCAGGAGTTCAGATGACAGAGAAAAAGGGTCGACTTACTTTTAACTTGGCTTGAAAAGGCTTAGTGCATCTGCATGTTAGCTTTGATAATTTGTTGCTAGTGCTGTGGCTGGGAGAGGTTTATATTCTGAAGAGCACAGGTGGAGATAATTAGGCACAAGTGAGCTGGGTTTGAAGTTGGGACGCAAAAGTTCTGACCTCATAGTCTAAAAAAATCAACTGGAATTTGACTTTCCATTGTGGGGGAAACTCAGATTATCCCCAGTCAGAATTTATAAGCCCAACTTTGTGTTTCAATATGGCTGTTCTTCACATCAGCGTCAGTAATTTGTGGTGAAAGCATATGTATCTTGCAAGGCACACTTGTAAGAATCAGTCTAAAATTTAAGTTGCAGAAACATCCACAAGGCTGATCAGTGGAAGAAGCTTAATTTTGAGCTTCATGGGAAAGGCTATGAATCCTTATGTAGATGTGATTTCTGGATTTTCCATTTTTAATACATTTGACAAAAAAAAAAAAAAATCTCAAACATTTTTCACATCGTCATAAAGGGGTATTTGTGTGTAGAGTTTAGGGGAAAGATTAATTTAATACAGTTAGAAATACGGCTTTAACGTCATAAAATGTGGAAAAAGTGAAGCACTGTGAATACTTTCCAGATGCACTGCACCAGTCAAAAACTTTGCGTTCTTGGTATGTTCAATGCAAAATCTGTGAGAGACTTTCCTATCAACACTGGAATAAAACATTAAAGTTGGCACAAGGCTCTTTAAATAAGTACATGGAAGAGTAGAATCTGTGTATCAGGAGACCTGTTTAATGGATACCTCACTCAGATCTTCAAGAGGAAGCATATGCAAGCCCACCATCATTGTTTGCAAGGAATAAAAACATAAATACATGTCGAACAGCCAGTGCTGTCGGCGTTTACATTCTTGTACATCAAATTCAAGAACAAAGTCAAAAGAGAATGATCAAAGCCATTCTCTCTAACATGCTGTGAATGTGGAAGTTGATATATAAAATCCATCTGAAGTTAGCAAATTAATACTTTTATTCTTGGCACATTGCTGTTTTTGTTCTTTATAGTGGAAGACGAATGCAAATGAAACTGAAGAAATGTCAACAAATGAGACTTAATTTTACGGAGCCTTCAAAAAGTAAGTCTGGAAAAAATTACTTTTCCTAAGGCATACATGTAGAACCATCCTATAAGAGAGATTCTTATATGGTTCTTCTTTTAACCACATTGGATTTTGTTTTTGTTTTTTTTTGTTTTCTTGAGTCCTAAAAGAAACTTAGTGTAAACGTTCATCATGATCCCCCACCCTCCACACTCTAATTTCACAGTCAAAGTCTCATTTTTTTCTTGATTATCCAACTGTAATTCTGCCACCATAAAGATCAAATCTGGGCCAGGATCTTTCTGCAAAATCTGTGGGGTATGCAGGTATGTATGCAGGTTTCTGGGATTCCACCATCAATTTTAGCCTTTCTGTAGAGCAAAGATGTTCATTGTTTCCATCAGCTTATCGGTTGCATGCAAATATGTGAGAAGGGGTGGCTGTGCAAAGCACTGCACACTACTAAGTTATCCTAACATGTGGCAGTGAATATCTACTCTACATTACCAACAAATATTAAATTACTTATGTTAACACAGAAAAGGCTTCAATGACCATTTTCAATGTAAATATTACTAGGGTTTGTTCCATTCTTCACAGTCACAACAGTTGAAATTATACTGTATGCAAATATTAGTACTGCGTTTATGGAATTATTTGTCCATTCTTCCTGAGGAGTATCTGTGAGGTCAAACACTATTGTTGACCTCACAAATACTGCTGGAAGAGAAGGCTGGCCGGCTCACAGTCTCTGCACCAGTCTATCATTCAAATCTCTTCTAGGTTGAGATAAGATCTGCACATCTGTCAAATTCCTCCCCACCCTGTTCATTTGGAAAGGAAGGGGACCATTTCATGAAACAGACAAACATGTCTTGATGTTCTACAGCATTCTGAACTCCTTCCACTGGAAATAAGCAGCTGAGCCAGCTTTTGAAAAACAACACCGCACAGCGATGTCATTTGCACCAAACTTGACACAATGCAGAGAAACGATTACTGTTCTATTGAGACTTGCCAAATCCCAGACTTGTTGCACAGGCGAGATCCCAAGATGCTACCAGGCTGGACTTCCTCAGAGTGGTCCGTTCTTTCACAAATGTTGGTTTCACAGAAAACGTGAAAGCTATGTTGAACTTATCATCAACGTAGAGACGATCATTTGTTGGTGGTGCCAGCCCAGTGCTGACGTGATAAACTTGTCTTGGCCAGCAGCACCAGCAGCTGTATGGCCATACTCACTGTGTGGAACTTGAGATTTTTCTTAAATCTCAAGTTACACAAAAAATATATATATATTATAGTTATTGCATTTTTTTATTACGTCCCCCCTTTACTATTAACATTTTGGGAAAAAAGGCCTTTTGTGTCAAAACATTCTGCATGTAGCCTACATTGATTTTGCTTCTGTGGGAGTGGGCACATGTACTTCCTAAACCTAAACGTGACAGTTCAGTTTACTTTTGTTTATTTGGCGGCTTGGTGCTCTTCCTGTACGCTAAATGTGACTGTGCAGTGAATAAGTCATTTTTTACCCATCTCACAGTTTTAAGAGGTCAAGTGGACCCCGCTGAGCTTCTGACCCTGTGAGCAGCTCAGGATTGGCGGGGTTTCAATGAACTCGCATGCGCATTTTAGGGAACTGAAGAACTGACTGGACCTCCACATCACTTCTCCATCGGCCGACCATGACAAGCAAACATTGTTGCTTCACCTCCTCCTCTGGAAGTCTCAGACACACCACCTGAGCCTGGGAATCTCCATCCTCCTCCCTCTGCATGTCACATGGCCACTCTTTGCTTTCCTGACTTCAGTATTTAGGGTAATATGTAAAAAAAATAAAATAAAAATAGTACACTGTTCAGGCTAATGAGTGTGTGTATGTGTTGCATTATGTGCGTTGGGCCTTCCACTATTTTTGTTGCTGTGGCTCATTTGTGTGGTTTTGTGCGCCACGCTCATGATGCGTGTTGGGGATGTGGATGTGCTCAGTGGGTCAGGTTCAGAGATTGTTTTGTGTGTGCCCAATAATATCCTACAGGGGTCCCTGGTCATGGCATTGATCCAGCATGGATAGTCCTGCTTCAAATTTTCTGATGACCAGTTCATGTTTGATTGAATGTGGGCTAGACACCATAAGCTGCTACGTTGGCACCTGAAGTGCAACGTTTTCAGGACCTAAAAATGCTGCCATCACATAAATGAACTACCACAGTTACTTCCTTACAAAAGTTTTATACGTCCTCAACGCAGTTGGGGAACTCTCTTTTTTAATTACGGGACATGGGGAGAGCGCTCCATTTATGCTGCACCCCAGAGGATCACATTCTGACAGATATTGATGCCTTAACCCAATGAGACAGGGCCTGGATTTTGTGAGTTTTATGTTAATCAGCTGTTAAGAATAGCATCCTATAAAAGAAGATGTTGGTTTTAACTATTTTTTTTTTTTTTTTTTTTCTAGAGTGCATGTGAAATAAAGCACAGGAGCATTTGTGTAATCATTCTTTTTTTTTTGAAAATATTTTGTGAATTATTTATTATAAAAATATAAATGTTTTCACTACAAACCATTTTACATTAGTAGACAAGGCCATCTACATTTGCAGACAAACGCACACAGACACACATGTCAGTCTTTAGACATAAAATTATTAGGGATTTGTATAGGGTCCGTAACAATATTGCTCTCTCAGATGTCTCAGGTTTATGAAGTTTGTGTTAAAATCATATCAAGACATCACAGACACATAATTTAATCTACGCTCAAAAATCATCAATGCATTGTATAATGTTAACAAATAAATAATGTAATCATAATTGCCTTTTTATTGTAGAAAAAACTAACAAGTATGATTCAAAGTAGGATAAAATATAATACAGATGATTTTTTTCCTCAATTTTAATTAAAAATGTTGCACAATTTTTATTCAATCATTTATACATACAAACATTTGTACAAAAAAAAAAAAAAAATGGATGGCCATGTATATAGTGAGATCTGGAGTGCTAGTTGCTTTCTTTACGATGGTTTTACATTATGTACATGCTAATTTCAAACACATATCAGCAACAGCAGCATCCACAGGTAGACCAAGTAAAGGAAGACAGAATTGACACACTGAACAGGGCTGGGTTTCCCAAAAGCACCGACAGCACCCCTGTGCTTTAATCAAGCTTAGTCTACAGCCAAGGCAAAAACGTTGTCATTCAAAGTGCTACAGTAATGTGTACCAAGTGCTTAAAGAGGCATAAAGACAGCATCTTCATTGTAAATATCACGCGTTCAAGAGCACAAAGTACCAAAGTGCCAGTTCAAAAATACTGGGTAAGTGTTGCACTGAGGGACCAGCTGGGTGACATCAAAGCAGAAGACTAGCATCGTTAAATATGTACTCCATTTACATCGATATTTTAAGGTGCCTTTAGGAAATCCCATGATGGACGTGGCATATCAGGTTACTATTTCAGAAAGCAATAATTTATTGGATGTATTGCATTGTTATCAGAGCATTTTAATATCGAGTCAGACTGGGGCAATTGATGATTGAGCTATACTCTAAAGAAAACACGAGAAACACTTACTTTATTACATTAAACTAAAAGAAATGTTTTCTTGGTGATTCCACCATGATCAAGACCAACTACAGGAGGCACTCTATTTTTTATTTATTTATTTTTTTGCTTGGAAAACAACAAGATTCGTTAGTTCGAGGTTAGTTTTTTTTAAGTGTAGTTCAAATTATTTGAAACCAAAATGTAAAAAGAGAGAGCTTTTCACATGGCTTTATTGAGTGAGTTATTGTGTAAAATCTTCAGATTGACCACCTTGTTTACTTACTTTGCCCATCCAAAACAAAAAAAAAAAAGTAATCTGTTTTGAAGTCTTGGCTCAAACTTGTCTTTCCCAAAGAAGAAACGTAATCTCAAAGACACATTTAAAAACAACTCTTCATCACAATAACATTTCATACAGACAATTGGGTTCCGGGTCTGTTCACCCCTTTGCCAATCTGTATCCCCATATCTATGCATTTCTACTTAGTTCTTTCTACTTCCAGCTCATACTTGTAAACAAATCATTTCTTATCCATAAAATTCAAATATTGCTTATCAGCATTTTTAGTAAAAACTTTTACGAGTAGCAGAACTCCCTCTCAAGAACTGCAGAAATCTCCAGAATAATTAATCTTAAAACTGTATATTTTATGAAAAATATTTGTACTATACCATATTCCCATGTATTTATCATACGGATGAACCCCTGATCAAACTGCAGTAGCTCTAACTAATCTCCTGCTGGGTGCCATTATAAAGTGAAGACATAAGGGATCACTTTAAAATAAAAAAAGTGAGTATTACTTAACGGATGATAGGTGCAAAGAGTCAAACAATAGATAATGCCATTGTGAACCCAGAACAGCTAGGTTTTGAACAACCACAATTACTAAGGTATGAACTGGAACAGGGTGAAATGACCAGCAACCGACAGATCACTTTTTCTGTTTTGGGCTCCTTGCATTTATTTTGCTCCAAGTATTTCCTCTTTACCTTCTTGTCATTAACTTCCTTCCATCTCAGCTTTCCACCGGTTTCCTGTTGTAGGAAAAAAACAGGATACACTCATCCTGAGATTCTGCATGAAGGTGGTGGGAAACAGTACGCAACATTAGCACATGGAACAAAGATGTCACAATAATGAAAGTTCTGGGTGTGCAGTGTTATGGCCACAGGTCTTCAGACCACAGCATTTAATACATAACACATGTAACATACCCATGGCTTCGCCACGATGAATGGATTTGATGGATTACAACCTTATTGCTTTTAGTGGCATGTCTACTGAATGCAAATGCTTTATGTTAGAGCTACAGAGTCAAACAATAGGTGAGTCCATATGAGTTTGGCCGTGACTTGGACTGAGTACTGAATGTAGGTAGCTGCAACTCCCATCCTCAGACTTCATCAATTCAGAAAAAGTCCGCATATAAGTCAGCTGTGGATGTCTGCCATGCTCTTCTACACATGGCATATCAGCTGTTCTCCTGCCTCTGGAAGACGCCGGTGTTAGCCAAGGACAGCTCCGGCATTTTCTCTGTCCCTGCTATGTTTTCCAATGACGACCAGGCTTGCGTTCCTCGTAATGTCTTTCTGACCTCCTTACCTTTTGTTTTCTCTCTCCCCCCTCTATTAGTCAGTAAGGCATCTCAATGTGGGCATGTAGGGAGAGGGGTGAGCCAGTCAGCTTACAAGGTGGCAGGTCAGTTCTGAACCCTTTCCCACTTCTCTGTTAGAAAGCTTTCAACAATGCGTGAAAGACATCACATGAGACATCTGTTTTTTTTTTTGTTGTTGTTTTTTTTTCATCCATTTGCATCTCCGTATTATTTAGATATGTAGCCACTGTGTTAGTGTGTGTAAACACAGACCAACAGAAAAGTCTCTGGTGGTTTTCATTTCTTGTTATTGTTTTTAAACAGGTACTGGACCATTCTTGGTATGGGATTCTAGGGCTTTCAGGCTGCTCACAATCTTCTTTTGCGGTCCTGCAATAGTCACTCCAACCTTTTTCAGATCCCTGGTGTTTGAAGAACATTAAGAAAAAAAAAAAAGAAAAAGAAAACAATCAGATAAAGAGAAGACTGGACATAAAGATTTATGTGTAGAGTGCCTTGAAAACATAGTCATACCCTTCAAACTTTTCACATTTTATTTGACTTTCTAAGAGTTTTTTTTGTTGTTGATTGAGTTGTATTTAGTAGCTCCATTCATCCTCAAGAAAAGCATCCCCATGACTAAGTTTCTTTTTCCTTTACATATATGCACTTCTAATTATTGACTTTAATTATTGATTTTATGTACAATAAATACACATTTGAGGTTGCAGTACAACAAAATGTAAAATATTCAAAGGGTATGACTTACACACTGTAAGAGATTGTGACTGCAGTAGTTGTTAAATTTGATAACATGGCAGAAACGTCTGGTTAATACTTTCACAAGCAAACTTTTGTTGCACATGCATTTGGTAGAAGAGAAATTATAAAAAAAAAAATAATGTTTGGGCCACCTAGATTATAATTGTTAGGAGCGTTAAGTGGCATAGACCTGAAGAAAAGAAACAGTTAATTGTTTTTAGCAAACTCTGTAGCGACTGGCAACATTTACACACAAGACACTGCTACATGTCAAAAAGTGATTTTTTTGTTATGTTTTCCACATTAGGGCATTGCATTATTGCATTACAAAGGTATGAAGAATCAGTGGAGTAGTAGAATCAGTGGAGTTGCATACAAAATTATTGCAGAACTACAACACAAACTTTGCCATTATTTTGATTGCAAGTTGTGAGTGGAAGCCCAGCAGCAGCTCTGGAGGTACAGCTTTGCTCTCAGGCAGGGCCTGGGCCTTAGTCCTTAACCCACCATCCAGAGCCTTTTTAGGGTGGAGAGGAGCTGGGCGCTAGAGGGTGGTGATTCCCATTGATGGCTCCCATTCTGGGCATGTAGCTGGTGTGATGTGGACCTCCGTCAGAACCACTCTACTGAAAAATAGCCAGGCCCATCAACATGTTACACAAGATATCAATAAGAGCTGCTACATCTGGGATAAAATCCAACACAATGTATTTTGCAAGGGATTAATTTGAACTTGAAACGAGTTGATAGCCATTAGATTATCTGTCCATTTCACAAACTCCTTTTTGTTAGCGTTGTTGGATTAACTCACATTACATTATACAGTATTTTAAATTGAAGGCACCCCTGGTTGAATGTGTGTAAAAGACTTACAATTAATTAATTTTTCTTGTGGCCGGATGATCTCACATTTGAAATGTGGCAACAACTCCAACATTTAACTTGAGTGCATTTTAAATAGTATAAAGATATTTAAAAACTAACAAACTGTAAGCTAATTACTGGCTGTCGGTCATTCTAACAATCTTCATAAGATACTTTTAACTTTTAACTGAAGCATAAAACAAGTTTAGGTTTACTATTTTCAACTAAATCAGAGCTAATTTGTGACTTTCTGTCTTCCCAACATATGAACATGATCTTGAAGGAGATTTATTATTATTACTTTTTTTAGATCTTCTCCAGAAGATTAGATTGCCATCAGGCACAGAAAGCAGGGTGGTGAAGAAATAAAAACTTTATTTTCTGAGACTTTAACTAGAACTGTGAATTACTCAAACTAGACTAAGATTGACATTTTTGGAACCAAATACTTTGGGTGGGTTGGGGTTTACGGATTAATTGGCCTGTTTTTCCTTCTAATGGCCTAGGAACCTTAATAGAGAGCATGGCATCATGAGCTTTTTGAAACACCTGGAAATTTGTCATACAAATCCATTAGTCTCTGACATAAAACAGATGATAATTAGTTGCTACAGGATAACAATACAAAATGTATGCTGGACTCAACACAGATATGGTTTCTCCAAAAACGCATCAATCTTCTTACATGACTCTTTCAACTTCTGCAAATAAAAAAAATGGTAAAATAAATCAGTCTTTCTGCGAATTGTTATTGGAGAAGAATAGCCAATTGCTGTTGGACAGTACTGATCGGAGTGCCAATAACTGTTCCACCACTAATTTTTTTCATGACACAGGATTTCTGCCCTACTTAGTAGAGTAACACAAATTAAATTAAAGAGTTAATTTTATGATGTCTGAAGTTATCCCATTTATGGCAAAATACATTTTTACACATAAGTATGACATTTCATGTCCTGTGCAGTTTAGACAGACATTTTTTTCACACTGCAGTTTGCAGATGGAAAATATGCTATTCCGAAGCGGACAGTATTTTCTCATTGGTCCATCCCATTTTCGAAAAAGGATTAATCAATTACTCCAGCAGACGAGTCAGCACAGTGTGCAGGAGTATGACTGTTCATCTAAGGTCAGAGCATTGCCAAGCCTTTTGCTGAATGTCAAGGACTAGATTAAAACTGTACAAATCAATAGAGCAATCTATATTGAGCAATACATAATCTGAGCCAAGGCTGTTAGCCTTGCAGCTGAGGTTGGTGTCTTAGATGGAGTCTTCAGTGGATTAATACCTCACTGATCCAATTACCAACAGGAAAATCACTGAGGACCAATGCATTTATTCCTGGGTGAGATTATTATTTCCACCCACTCCCAAACAAGATGATTGACAAAAAAAAAAAAGATAGTAAACCAATGTGTTTTTCCAAACCATTGGAAATGGAGAAAAAAACAATAGAGGAGACAAAGGCCGATACAGAAGACTTCTTCAGAATATACCAACTGGTGATATCAGCTCCACAAACCAACGTTATCTAACTTATTACAAACTTCTTCCATCTAACATGTTTAGTTCAACACCAGTGACTGCCTGTTTTTAGAAGCTGTACCAATACCAGATTCTTTAAAACTTTAGTGGTGTGTGTACAAGTACTTACATTTAAGTACTTGCTGATACCACATACTGACAAATACTAATAAATAAAAATACACTCCTTACAACTATCTTATATATTATTTATTTTTTATGTATGATTTATTATTCATTTTTCTATGTATAATTAAAGGTTTCGTAAATCACAGACTTAGTTTTAAATACTCTGCTACTAATGTAAAATGGTCTAATACAGATTTACAAGTATTTTAGTTTGATTAAAGATACTGAATGTTGTGGAAAAATTAGGCGTATTTGCCATTTGGCCATTTCCCAAATCAGAAGCTACAGTCGCAGGCTCACTTCAGCTTTATGCAATGTTGTGTCTGCAGTGTGGTCATAGTAAGGAATCTCATATGTCAGCATACACAGAAGGCGTCAAAATCCCAAGTTCTCATCAATAGATAAAGTCAATTGCATCTGTACATTGTCGTCTTCTTGTTATGTGACTCACATTCAGTTGATGTGAGTCACATAACTTGCTGGGTTAAAAAAAGTATATGCAAGTATATGAAAAAGTATATGCAACCTAATACTGTCTGTTAAAGGGAAACACAGCTCCCATCACGCTGGTATCAGGTCCTGTGTTATCAGAGTACACACACACACACACACAATATCAAACAAATATTCATAGTGACATGTGTGCATCCCTAAAGAAAAACAAAACAAAAAATCAATAAAGAAACAAAAAGAGAGAGGGACTGGGTAAAGGCATTTGTAAATGATGACATGACCTATACTTTTTAGACCCTAAATGGACAAGAACTAGCTCAAGTTAGAGCTGTGAACCTAGTTCAAAATGTTTAGGTGATGAACTATGAAGATGAATCCATCCAGATAGTTCATCTGTTTGTTGGAATCTTACTCTGTCGAGGTCTTGGCCAGGGTGTCGCAGGAGCTGTAGCTGACCCCTGAGAAGGCCTCCTTGCAAGGCAAGGTCCTCATGGCATCCATCCAGTCACCCATCGTCCCCACTGGGGGAACTTCTGCACTGCTCCTGTCCAACAACAAGTTCGCTGGTCTAAGGGACAGGAGAGACAAAGGCAGATGACCAATTGAGAAACAAATGTAAAGAAAATGCCACATGATCTGTCAGTTTTCATAATATTAAATAACATAAGAATTCAGAGCATCGTTTCAGGAAAACAGGTGGATAAGCATCACCTCGGTCATCAGCTGACAAACTGATATACTGCCTGACAGGTGCTGTCTGGCTACCGTTCAACCACAACTTGTGCAAAGCAGCTTTTGGAATGTGATGTACATAGTTTATATTGCTGCCTTGGCTCCAGGCTTGTCCCGTAAAGCATGTGCCATGCAAGCAAATATTTGAGTGGGGTGTGATTAAAAAATATTTCCCCGAAGGGAAGTCGAAGTTCAAAGGTGAACACAACGGGGGCTCCTTGAAGGGTTTGTCTCAAATGTAATCTCCCAGCATCTTTCTGACACCAATCATATATTATCACAAAGCTACTGCAGGAGGTAGACGGATACAGACATTTGATACATTTTAACTGAGCAAATGCTTCGTTTTTAATTCTACTTAGATTATGTTTGTTCAAAGTTTTCAGAGTTCATCTAAATTTTTGTTCCAAGAGCACAGTATAGGAACAATGACAATGCTTTCAGAAACCCATCAATGGCACAAAGTTCTTGAAGCAAAAATCTACGATCCCTATCTGACATCTAGTAAAGAACATATGAAATGCCAGTGCTTTCATGGAAGACGTTTTACATTTTCCATCACAGATGGTCACCTTTACACAGCATTACATTATAGCTAAGAAAAACCTTCCAAGGTAAATAAACTGTTGAGCACGTGTGTCTGTGTGTATTTGTGGGAGTCAATTATTTTCATTATATATATTTAGAGCCAAGATTGCCATCAAAACCAGCATCCGTTTCTGTTTAACTTCGTTACCACTTCCTGCTGAGCATGTACTCTGTAGCAGAATGCAAAATTGGATGTTATTACATCGGATGGCTTAAATTAGATCAAATGAAATGTACCATGTTAGCTGGTGCTCAGTAAAACAGCCAACTAACAAAGATACGGGAAGAGGAGAGGAAGCTGAAGATGAAAAATGAACACAGGTTGACAGGACATCACGTTTTCAGTGTCACTCATGATGTGGAAGCAGTGTGGCTTCGTTCGCAGTCGGGGAAACTGGATCACATCAACGCAGTGAATATGAAACCGGGTCAATCCATCTAGAGATCAAAGTGGAGCTAACGATAACAGCAGAGCACTTTGTGTCCTTTCTTACTTTTTAAGGACATGCTCCACCTGTCTTTCCAAAAAGGCACCTGTACCGAGACAGGGCACAAGAGAATAATGGAAAGCAGGAAAGTACAGCACCAGAGAAAGAGGTAGAGTTCCCTGGGGGGATGCTATTCATAGCAATGTAAACAAACTCATTAGAATACCAGGAAGTCCACCTCTTTCTGGCAGACATAATGCCGCTGAGGGGTTTGAGGCACTATCAGTGGTAGTTTGTGTGATCTGGGGAGATGCAACTCGGAGATAAATGCAAGAATAGAGATCATAATAGAGATGTTTGAAAAAGGCAAGAAGTTTAACATATTTTAAATAGAAGGCCTTTACGCAAAACGTTGTGTTTTAGTTTTCATTCACTTTCAGCAAGAACTCCCAACAATGAGGCGTGTTCTCTGCAGTATGCATGACGCTGAAGTAAGGATGGTTTTAAGAGATTCAAAATATAGTCAAGAGAAATTTACCAGTCTGCTATTAGACGACGGCATCAAAAGCACCACACTGAGGCAAGGCAGTATACTGAGAGAAGAAAGGCGACATGGGATCTCTAACGGAGACAGTAGGAGAGAAGAAAAAGGTGGAGGAGAAAAAAAAAAGATGCTCTTGAGGTGGTGGAGTGGGTGTTTTTACAATGATTGAGTCTTTTCCTGCCAGATCAGAGGCCTGTCAAAGTGCTGAGGGCCCCCCAGGACTCTCTGGAAACACTGGTTTGTCTGAAAGGGAGGGAATTTGTAGCTGGATAGAGGGGGTGGTTTGCTTGGGAAGGGAGAAGACAAAAATGTGAATAATTAATTAAAAAAAAAGTTTATTTGTTTGTTGTTCTTTTTCTTTTCTTGGTTATTTTTATTTTATTTAAATAAAATTGATTTTATGATTGTTTTATACTGTGCAAAAAGCAACTCAGTTACAAAATTATATATAAAATTCCACCAAATTATACTGTTACAAAGTATGGAGCTTCATCTTTCTTGCAAGATTATTGATCTTTTTCTCCATCTTCCACCTGTACCCATTGCCTTTGTGTTGCTTTCTTCTCTTTCTATATTCTGCTTACATTTCCCCCTCCGCTGTGTCCACTGGGAAGTAAACTGCAAATGACCTTGTTTCCTCCCTCTTATCATTTTCTTTGTTTCCTATGTTCTTACATTTCTTGCGGCAACTCAAGAGACAAGATTATTGGTGAGGAAAGAGAATGATGTGATGCAAGGGGAAAAACAAAGAAAAAGGAAAAGAGAGCATCTGTTTGATGCCAGAGGATGTTTTTAAAGCCTCTTGTGGATTCAATAGCATATAGAAATGCAGAAAAATCCCCTGTTTGAGCAGAAGTAAGTATAAAAACACTGCAGAGAATTAGTCTGGCCCCTTTATTGGTGTCAGTTCTTGTGCTTTGTAGTCTATCTTTCAATTTTTCAGACTTCCAAATACCATGGTTATGTAGTTTTTTTTAATTTATTTTATGGAGCTCACAGAAGAAAGAGAATAGCTGGATGAGTGCAACTTTAACAGATAAAGTAGATGTGGAAAGGGCAATGAAGGGAGAAATGAATGGGTAGCAGCGAAGGGAAATCTGAAAGTTCAGAGATTCAGCTTGTCTGCAATTTTTAATCAGGCTGTATATCTGTTTAAAAAACCGTGAAGTAGGACAATAAGTCAGAACTATGCTGATTCCTCTTAAGCCCACTTTGCTAGAATTTGGACAGTCTGAGACTGTGAGAGTTCACACTCTGTTTCCTGAAGGAAGACATGTGGGAGAATCCGAAGTTATTTATCAGTGACATGCAACCAGAACATTCTGTTTAAGAGAATCTGAAACAACCAGCCTGGCTGCGTGACCAGACTTCGGTCATCTTACAACCACACCAGCGTGGTGGCAATGAAGTATTTCTTGTAATACATAGATCGGTGCATCTGCTATGCACATTGCTTTGGTGTCCAACACGATATCCAGGCAATAGAATAGACAATCAACCATACCCACTGTTTGTTTACAGAGCCATGTTTATTCCCTTGCACAAACAGATTGCTATGCTCTGGGTTAACCCCTTAACTGTTATGACATTATGTCTGTCGCTACCAACCCTTCTTAGGAGCTTTGACTGAGAAGCACTTTGGATGATAAGCTCAGCACAGTCCCACCAGGTGTTTGACAAATGCTGCTGCTGCTACTGCTAGTCTGGAAGAGCTGATAGGTGCAGGGCTGCTCTGTGAAGAGCTCTGTGGAAATAGGCGGCGCTTTGTGTGAACCAGCATGTAGACACCCTTAAATGGCTCCCATGGGACATTCAAGAATTCCTCAAACATGCAAGAAAAAAAGGATTCCTCCAGGTATGTTTTTGATTAGGCCATAACATTATAACGTGATGTGAAATTAAAACAAAGGTGAGATTTTTCTTTATTTATTTTCTTTATTGCTTTCCCTGTAGACCCCGTCCATCATTCTTTTGTGAAGCATTCTAAGAAGAATCACTCCTTTTTCATTAAGTAATCACTTCTTGCCTTCTACGATCATTACTTTTATGTAGGCTTTATGGAACAACTACAGCAGATTCAAGGTGTCTTGGCGGTCTCGCCTTAACAGTGACGCAGAGTCATTTAAATGCTGAACTTTTCCAAAGTCAACATCTGAAAATACCAGCTGTTTCCAGATTGTGGTTTTGTGTAAACAAAGCTTTAGGTTGGTTAATGTCACGCAATATTCCGATTGAAAGAAAAAGCACCTGCAGAAAATATATAAATGCATGATGGCAGCATGCCAGACTAAATAAAATGAGATTTGAACATATTTTCCTATGAGGCAGTATACATATTGCACTACAACCTTTCAACCAAGTGTATCACGAGGTTAGGTTTTCTTTTGCCACCGCCACACTTTTTTGATCAAAATGGACAACGTCTTTTCTAAGCAAACACAAAAACCTACAGTTTCATGTTTTAAACACCTTGAAAAGCAATTTTGACAGTGACCTCCAACCCTGATTGGACTCCTGTTGGCCTATAATTTGTCTCTGACAGCCAACCTTGGCCCAGTGACCCCCACTCTTTTTCCATCCGCATGCAGAGACAGTAAACTCTAACCAACTTCCACCTCCCAAGCCTCCAGATGCTCGACTCTGGTCGCAGGCTTCGGTCCGGGGCTGGGAGGTAGGGGGGCAGTACATTAGCCTGCCAGGACAGCCCTGAGACAAACGAGGTGTGTTGAGCTGAGAGCAGCTGCTCCTGCTGTGCAACTGCCGCTGCCACCACACACTCTCTCCCTCGCTTCCACATACACACAAACATATCCGCACGAGCAGTTCTAATAAATCACCAGGCAGGACTCAGTTGGCCAGGCCGCGCTCACCCAGTGTTAAAAGCCAATCAAGAAAATTACATGCAAACTCCAAGGGACCTATTTTCACTTTCTTAAGAAATCATTAGTCAATGTTATGAGCTCTGACATCTCCATAATACCATTGCCTTCTGCTGTAGACCCAACGCCCGTCTCTCTCCCCGCTCAGAACTGACAACTGTACATGTGCTGCCCTGCTTCCCCACGGCCCCCTGGGAGAATTGTCGCCCAAACAATAGAGACAAGCCCAGTGGAAGAAGAAAATAAGAAGGAAAAAAAAAACACTGTGAGAACAACAAAAGGGGGCAGGAGGATGAAGAAATAAAGTGCTGCTAAAGTTAAACAAAAACAAAAAATTGTGTTTTTTTTGTGTGTTTTTTTTAAGTTTTGCCAGTTGCTCTCCCAGGAGAGCAGTTCTTTAGTTGAAGTTTTCCATTATGCACTGTCAAACTGAATTAACCTATATAAAAATGCTTTTACTTTCACAGATTGTAATACTTTCTTTTGTGTGTTTATATTGATTAATTTAATCTTTATTCACACATAGTAAACTTGCAGTTACCATTAAAACAATCATTTCAGTGCCATTAAGTCTACTTAATGTATGAGTAGAGAAAAATGTATGATTCTGTACATTTAGGCTGTAGCAAGAAATAACAACACCAGAGCTTATAAACAAGTTTGAATGTAAATCATAGTTGAAGAAAAAACTGAAGAAGAAATATTTCCTTTGTTCAAACTATGACTGTCACAATTCCCAGATATTATTTGTTTTGGAAGATCTGGCTTAGCAAATGATGGTGTATCCTTTATTGTTTGTTCTTCTGTGCTACTTTCTCTATGTGCAAAATCCCGAAAGAAGAAAATCAAAGATTCAGTATACCGCCGGTACCTGGATGTAGTGTTGGCTGTGATTTTGAGGCTGCAGGGGTTGCGGATGAGTTTGTCAAGGATGCTGACAATTTGGTCAAACTTCGGACGGTTATTCCGCTCCTTCTGCCAGCAGTCCAACATCAGCTGATAGAGTGTGGCAGGGCAGTCCATGGGGGGTGGCAAGCGGTAACCCTCGTCTACAGCTTTTATGACCTGCAGGCAAGAATACACTGGATTAGAATTAATTTATATAAAGTTTCTTTAAAAATTTTGTTTTCAATTGTTCTGGACCAGAGATGGTTGAGTTATTAGGATCAAGTCAAATATATTCTTGCAGCACATATGAAAACAGCAGAAGTACACCAGATTAAAAAAAAAAAAAAAAAAAAACCGGGTTTTTTTTTTAAAATCAGAAATTGGTTTTTTTTTAAAAAAAAAT